GTTGGGGTTCATGAAGCGTTTAGTAACCAGGGCCCAGTAAATCATCATCACCCATTATTGCTGATCTAGCGTCTCGCCCGAGCTCAACTGCTTTCCTGTTGCCGATGTTTCGGGTACCAGCAACACTGTATAGAAGTCGTGAACTTGAATAGGAGGACGCAAAAGAAGCAAGAGCAGTCGCAGTAGAATTGCGGAGGCCTGTTTCGGAATGAGCTTCGAGCAGCTGTCCTCGCAACAGGCTTTGTTCAATCCCATGTGCATTCCAACCTGGACAAAAGCGCCTTCAGTTCCATGAACGCAGGGGATCCTAGGAAGAAACCTTAGTTAGGGACTCTTGCTTGTCCTACATTTTAGGCTACACACCTCGCAGGATAAATTGTTGATGAAACCTGAGGGTCCCTGCGAGATGCCCTTCCTGAGATCCCCTGGTCTTGCTCTTACCTCTTGTTACAACATAGTAGGACATGAAGGATAGGTCATGTTGTTTTTGTAGGGCACATTGCCAAAGGTCCTGAACATAGTCCCACACTATGCCTGGCATCAGGTGATGCTCACGGATGAGATTTTTTAGCGCATGCTTTGCAGCCATCCAGGCCTTGCCAGTAGGTAAAGTGGAGGCTTGTCCTGGCAATGGCAGTCTTGCTTTCATCAATGTTCTTACTTCTAGCATCGGAGAAATCAGTATTGCTAGCTTCAGGGCTACCCCCCTGAGTATCACTTAAGTCTTTGCAGCTATGGAGTGGCAGATTTTGTCAGTGAGCCCAGGCTACTTACATACCTGGCAACTTCCACAGGCAATAGATGCAAAGACCGTCTTGAATCCCTGAGCCCTAGAACCCAAAACCCTTTCCGACTGGCTGAGGTTCCAGCTTCCCCACCAGCTTCTCGTCACCGGCAGTCGCTCGTAGCTTCAAGGTGCAGGGCACATCTGTCCAAGACGGCCTTCAGGCAGACATGGGTCTGTTTCAGAAGTAAGAAAAGTAGTTTTGACTCTAAAGCTTTCACGCAGGCTTAGAAAAATTGAGACATCCCAATATGCGCATGGTTGAACTCGGTCTTCTGAAACAAACGGCCTGGAAATCTGGAGCCTCTAGCTAAATTTCTAGGACACCGAACAGCCCAATCGCAAATCCCCAATCCGTGAACCCCAAACCCTCAACCCAAAGCCAACGGACCCGATCCTAGACACCACGAAACTCCGAAACCCAAAGCCCAAAACCCATCCGAGAACCCCAAAACATCCCAAAACCCTGCAACCTGTACCCAAAAGAGACCTTCAACCCTAAAAACAGAGCCGACTGAGCTATCGCACCCAGTGATTGGGAATTCCCATCCTGAGCACTTTTTTAAGATTTCGGAGTTGAAGGATTAAGGTGAGCTTTTGAACTATAGAGTTTATAATAGAATTTACAGCTTGCTTTAAGCGCTCTTTCAAAGTTTAAGGATTTGGGATTGAGGTTTATAGGGCTTGCGGCTCCAAACCCAGGACTTCTCCGTGAGCACTCAGACGTGTTGCAACCTTCCGGTTTTACTCCAAGGTGTTTCACCGCAGGCTTTCGACCAATCATGTGAAAAGACACCTCAACCCTGCGGGCGTGCGAAGTCACATGTTCTCTCTCTCTGTCTCTCTTTTTGTTCTTTCTTTCTTTCTTTCTTTCAGGCTCTCTCTCTCTCTCGCATGTGGACGACCTCAACATGCAAAGTATACTCGCAGTATGGTCCAGCCCAGATGATACAAGAGTCGATGAATCCGGCGGCACTGCCATCGAATCTGTGACAACTCCCCCCCCTCCACTGCCACCACCCTTAGATGCTCCCGAAAGGCAGGCTCATCGTGCAATTTTGCAGGTCTCGCTTCCCTGGTTTAGTTTTGGGGTCTAGTATGTGCTATGGACGCAACACGTTTGCATGGGCCAGCCTGACCAACACATCAAAGCTGCCAAGCTTCAAAAGAAGAACCTCCCTGAAATCTGAACCCAAAGTGCCGGAACCCTTGCTGGCTCACTCTCCTTTTCATGAAAAGCCTCCAACTGCCTTTGTGTCGGAGACCTCTCATCTATCCTGATTCTCTGACATCCACAACTAAGAAGCAGACCTGCTTTCCAGCCAGAGCTGTACTCGGAAGGGGAAAGTATTTCACCTTAATTATCAATGCTTTCCAAGCTCAAGTGGCTTAGACAGGAGATACTTCCTAGATCGCTTTCGGAGCTCACAGGGTTAACGATATCATGGCTTGCAGAAGGCTACAAGTAGCAAGAATGGCCAGAAAGCAAAATTGAGGCAGTGTTTCTCAAAAAGGGGCGCCTAGAGGAATCCTACAAGGATGTGAGGACTATGAGGAGGCGACAGGGGCCCGCTGAAGGCTCTCGGGACTACTTTGATGAACTCGCGCGCTCATGGGCACCAATCCCTTGGTGCCCGACACGTTCCATCTTGCAGATGGTGTCGGATGTCCTGGTGCTGCGGACAGACAGAGAACAGCGCGGGGGGGCTTACTGAAAAAGTGGTAACCAGCAGGAAGCTTGGGATTGTGTATATATCTGGGGTTTAGGGCTTAGGGAAAATGATGTACATACGTATATAACGTAGACGTAGACATGCAGATGTGTATATCTAGATGGGTTACGAAGGTGTTAGAGAAGCCCCCCTCTTCGTGCACTACATTACTTGGGGAACCTGGGAAGTGCAAGACTCCCTCCATCCTTTGGTGGGTGTATGGCCTCTGCATCCACGAAGCGCTTCCAGAAGTAGGCATTCAACAAAATGACACCTGCAGCAATGGGTTTTTAACAAACCTAAACTTTTTAAGGGTGTCCACTAGTTTGGGAGGGAGAGAGCAAGCCTCATTGCTTGTGCAGTGAGCTGAAGAAGAAAAATGTCAAGCCCAACAAGTCACAGCCAAATTGTAAGGCGTGGCCATGAGCGCAAAAGGCACTCCAAGGGCAGCACAGGACACGATCACAGCAATGATAGCAAGACCTGAGCCGAAGCAAACACGGAAATAACAGTTGCGGGAAAGTATGGTGGCCGTGACACTCCTGAAAAGGTTCAGGACGCAAGGAAAACGAAAGCTAGGATGGCACTAAAGACCGCGAGATTGTGCTAGTTGATGGAGGGACTTGAAAAATCGGTGAAGCAGTAGAATAGGGCGAAGGCTGTTTGCAGGTGGGAGGGGGCCTACATGAGCGTCCAAGTCTACATGAGTCGGGGCTTCCGCTGAAACTCAAGAAAAGAAACAACAAAGAAAGAATGCCGGCTACCCAACGATTAGGAGATTTCGCAACAAGAACAACCGCCAGCGTAACTGCCCCATCCTTCATCTATCATGTGTATTCTCGGTCTGGCCCCTTCGCAACCCATGACTGAATAGTCCTCATCATACGATGCCTGCACACTCTCTACCTCCTTCTCACTTGAAATATGTTAGCCACCCGTAGGTGACATGGGATGAGGGTGTCTCAAGATGGCGTGGCCTTAGGCGGCCCGAGAGAAATCTGAAAATCTAGGGATGAAAAAGAGACCATGGGGCGTCTCTGATACAGCGAAAGCTCTATACTTATAATCACCTTCCTGAAATCAAACACCACCCGCTTCCATAATATTGCAAGGGGTCCTCCACGCGTGTATGTATATATGTAGCGGCTATTACAGGAATTACTTATATCAGGGGGTTAGGGGGTGCTTAATACCTTGCAGAGGGGGTAGCTGAACCCCGACCCCAAAACCCTGATGGTAAGGATGAAACCGACACGTGAGTACTCGGCCATGATGCTGGCACCCTTTGGAGCTCCCACTGCGTCTTCCACAGCGTGTCCAGACCGATCTGAACGTTTCTCGAAAACTGTGCGCTGTTTTCTGCGACGCTTATTCTAAACAGAGCCCAGCGTACTGGCATTTGACTACAGACCCCTGAATTTTGAGACAAGAATTTTCAGAAACGCTGTTTTCGGCAGTAAGAATTCCTAAGTGCAGGTACGAGGGTCTACACAGCTCGAATCTCTTAGTTCGTGTGCTGGCACTTACTGTATGGGTCTGTGCAAGCTGCGTGGTTTGGAACAGATCCGCCGCAACTCAGAGCCAAGCAACTCTGATGCAAAATTACCAAGCTCAGCTGCAGGGAAACTGACATAGCACGTGCACTTCAGCATCAGTTCCCGCCCACTGCAACTCTCCTTTGTTTCCCGGGGCCAGGCTCGAGTGCCTGAGAAAACTGCCTGGTTTTGTAGGCTGCTCACGAGAGCCTGTTCCAGGCTACGCTGGGGAGCCATGCTCTTTCACACAGCTCCCGGAAAGCAGCCAATCAGTAAGGATTTCGCGCAAAGTGCCTACTGTCCTAAAGGCTTGGGAGCCCCTCATGTTGATTCATAACTCGTCACTTTTCAAGTCTTGCCTAAGCTGGATATGTGATGCATTTCAGAAGCTTCGGGGTCCCTCCTTTGGGGTTACAGGGATTGGGGGCACATGAGAGAAACTTCAAGGTGAGTTGACTGGCTCGGCTTCAGGAACAGCATCTTTGGCGCCCTCCACCTGCTCCTCTGGGATGCCCTCCAGTAGCAGCCTGGGATCACAGCGCGTGGAAGAATTTCTCATCCTTCCCCAGTAAAGGGGCTTGTTTAATTTAATCTTGAGTAGTGGGAACGGGGTGCTCAACATTAGGGGCGTATTCCGTGACGACAGCGGATGGTGATCCGAGAAAAGACAGAAAGAATGAAGCAGTGGACCGCATGCCCGACCTTACACATAGATCCTCTCAAGTGGAATCACGCTGAAAATCGGCTTGCGGAAGTTGCTGAAAACTCCAGGAAGCTTACCATGTGAAGGAATCTTTCACACCACGCTTAATTACTTTAGGCTGGCACCATCCCAGCCGTGCTTTGAATCTGCAGCTTTCAAGCCGATCTGCCGAGGCAAAGGCACGACAGCTGTCGTAGCTTTCATGTGTATCTGCCCACTGCTACAGTAATTGTGACACATCCTGCAGTAGCTTTCCGGCATGCGGCCGCCGCACACCGTTGCAATGTGCAGCACCAAGCACCGCCACGACAGAACCTGGAGCATCCTGGCATCCGGGGGCTCTCAGCAAATGTCGGGCAAGGAAGACCAAGAAAGTGCAAGGAGCGAATGTTGCATGGAGGGTTGCATCAAACTGGGTTCTCTGATCTCCCCTCCCCTAGTAAGACAACTTATCTTGCAACAAGATGCAATACTGAGAACGCTTGATATGATGGGAATGGCTTGTTTTCATCCCAGCCTTCTTCTGGCAGACGTCCTTGATGCTCTTAGCAAGGATCATGTCGCGATCGCGCAGCAGGACTTCCAAAATGACGCGAAAGAGAACTGCCTGCCAAAATATTGTGGGTGTTACAGGGGCCTGCAGCGACATCCCGGGATACAAGGCTGCTATGGCGGTGGTCTATGGCTACGCGTTGTCAAAAACCATTTCGCTGTGGGATTTTCGACGAGCCAATCTGCGACTCCACCCGTTGCCACTACAAGCACTGTCCCTGCAATCGTTGGTAGTGTCAAATTCGTTATTCTACGATGACTGGCTCTGTTCAGGGGTCTGGTAAGGGTGAAAAGAAAAATCCCCGAGACCATTTCTAGGAGAAATGCCTCGAAAGCAATCATGACCAGATCGCCAAGGAGGCCACTTGGCAATACCTGGGCCGCAAAATTCCACGAGTACCGAGTCGATGGGTTCATACATGTTTGCGGTATCTATTAATACAGCTAATACGCGCGTGCATTGTACACATACATCCAGCTACAAGCTGCATGTGAAGAAGGGCGTGTCATTCCTTTGTTCAACTCAATCAAATACAATTAGCTAGTGCTACTTATCAAGAATCATAGACCTGGCTTAGGGAAGCGGGGGTTCCATCACGTTTGGGTGTTTGGCCAATCTCAGCAAGACAAGAGAGCCCTGCTCCATACGCTTTGCCTACGGAGCATGCATGCCGCCTGAGACAAGCACCGCACAGATCAGGTAAAAAGCCACCACGCCAGCCAACAGAGTCGGAGCCTGCTTAGAATTTAGAATCTAGGATCTGCAGCAGGATCTACATCAACTCGCCGGGGGGTCTGGAGAGGAGTACAAACCCCAGAGGTTTGTCACACCCTTCTTGGAACCCTTGTGAAAATCCGGCTGAATACAGGGATTGTAGAAAGCAAAGTGGAATTGTGAAGTATCTAGTGAATCTACTGGCGGGCTTAGAAAAAGCCCAACCTCCAAAAAATAAAAACACGCTTTGAACCCTCAATCAATTAGTCATATAATACAGGATAGACGAGGCTTGCCAGGAAAAAATGATTAGTAGCTGGCTAGCTCATTTCAACTGCATCTTGGCCCTCTTTTTCCCTGCACTCCCACGTTAACCGGTTAAAGGGTCTCGGGGTTTAGGGGTTTAGGGTTTAGGACTTGTATGGGTTTCGAATGATGTGATGATGCGTGCAGGCCTTCAGCGCTGTGGAGAGCACGTACCGCGGGACGGCGACTACGAATCCAAGGATCCTGGGCACACTAGAATGAAGGAATGGGCTGTACGGGCGATCGGTATGGGGACGAAGTAGGGAGTACTGTAGGGCTCCATTCCTCTCTAATAAACACCAGTAAGACCATCCGGATAAATGTGGCGATCTGAGGGAAGCTTACATCAGCAGTGCCAGGAACCGACTGTTGCAGTGGGAATCATAGAACTTATGCGAACATCTATACGGTTAGGAGCCTAGTCAAAGCTCATCATACCAATATGGCCGCCAATGCCACTACTGTTGCACCCAACCCTAAACCCTCAATCCTAAGCCCCTAGTCTCGAAACCCCGTACCCTAGACCTATATGAAATAGGTGTATATGCGCATGCTTGATCTCGAACCGGGTCGCATTCAGTTAAACGGCTTCTCAACATCCCTCACCAAGGCTGCGACAGCTCGGGATCCGCAAAGTCTCCAAGCCCGAGAGCCTGAATCGAAAGCAAGGCAACAGACTTCTAGCAATCATAGGGTTTAGGCTGTACGGTAATGCTCTGGAAATGGTAATACTCTAGACCCCAACAACAGAAGTGGCACTGCAGCATCTTTCAGCAGGGATCATTACAGCGATCCACCCTCAAGCAACCCCGAACGGAAAGCTGCCTGCAATTCCAACCAACCTGCCCAATGCCCTGCTTAGAAGGCCTCCTCCTGAGAGCTTCCTGTGCTCTGGGCCTTCCTGACGATACAGACGCAACAAGAACTGCAGGGTTTTGGGGTTTAGGATTTGAGTTGTCTGGCAGCGTCTGGACTGGGTGTAGAGCTTAGGTGGTCAGGGTGGCGTGTAGGAATCAGGCTTTGGGGTTGGGACTTTAACGCGTCAACAATACATGCTGCGCCTTTGCAGACAAACCTCGTTTAACCTGGTACCCAATCACACGCAACAAAAAAATTGAAGCAATGCCCTGCCCTTGAGTCCACAGACAAAGCTCAATATCACAAACAAATCCGCAAATCCGGAAGCCTCCATGGTATAATCAGTGACTTTACTCATGTGATTGCTACTGTACCAACACTCCCACTCTGCTCGCAGCCATCAAGAGAGCGATTATCCCAGAGAGCTAACACGCGTTGAATAAGGAATCTACCTTACAATATCTTTATATCATTCCTGGATATGGTACTCTCAATTTTGTTTTCCATCTTCTTCTCCACTTGAGCTCTCCATTATAGGGTGGGGGCAATCCCTAAACCCTCAACCCTGAACGGTAATTTCCATTCCGTTCTCCATGTTCTTCTCCATTGGATTCTCCATTAAAGGGGGTAACATCCCTACATATCCCTGCTAACCATGGATGCCTGGCATGGATTCAGCAATGGTTCTGAGGTAAGGGGTATTGAACTCCAGGGGATTTTGGCAGGCTCGGCCTCTTTCTCAAGTTGGCCAAGCTGACCTTGGCAGCAGTAAGGACTGCTTTTTGGAACTTCTAGAAACTGAGTTCGCGGATATGTGTAGAATTTTCTCAAGCAAGGGGCCTGGGGACATAGGGGGTAACATCTCCATCATCATGTAGGGTTTGTCTGGAGATTGTTTGGAGAAACACCCCTGTGATGAGGACCATTTACAGGACCTCCATTTGATTCTGGGAAAACATATCCACAGCCTACCCATGATCAATGCGACAAAGGTGGTTACTGTCACGGTGCGGATGGTTTCCGTTACCATCGCCGGTACTGCGCATTCTTTAGCGCGACATGCGAGCGTCACCAGCCTGCACCTGTTCCTTCATCACCTTTCAACTTGGAAGTTGAAGGCCGTACCAATGACAATAATCAGAATGGTCCTGCAAGAATGTGCCCTGGCAGACTAAGTGGACGCAGCACGCTGGGATTTCCTAGATTGCGGTGTATATATATATATATCTACGTATATATGATATGGAACCAAATTTATTCTTGTGCACGAGGATTTTCTAAGGCTTGGGTCCAAGAAATCCAAGTTGCCTCCCCTCTTCTGCCTTCTTCAATCTGATCTCTTCGGTGGCGAGCTTGGAGACGGGCCCAGTGGGCACGTCTCAAGATCCCTTCCCCGTAACGAACCGCATCCTGACCCGGAGGGACGTCGAAAAAGGCCAACAAGTAAGTTTGAGAAGACGAAGCCTTACAAAGCCACTTAGCTTGCACAACTGCCTCATGTACCCCACGGAGGTAGCAATATCGCTTAACTCTCAACCCAAAGTGATAGTTCCCCATGTTCTTTTCCATTTGATTTTCCTTTTAAGGGGGGGTTATATCCCTAGATGATGGAAACAGCCACACTCCAATCCCCAATCAGGGCCAGGCCATCCCATTCACCAACGCGGAGCCTACGACGCAGCTGCAGCAAGTTGGGGAACTGCATTTGTTCACGGTATGATAGGATCCTGGCAGTCCGTTAAGACAATGTCGGGGCTTCTTGTAGCAGGAGCAGCAGCGGGAGGACGCAGTAGAAGGGGTAGGAGGAAGACGAGAAGTAAAATGTGATAAGATAATCTAGAAACGGTACCTGGCCCCTGGCCCAAATGCCTCGCTGCGCTTAACGATTTTTGGCTGCCAGTTGTTTGACTACTGCAACATGCAAGGTCATTCAAGAATGCCACCATATTGTTTCCATTATCAATTTCACGGCGCTTCCCTGACACTGTGACTATCAGGTGTGCGTATAGCACAACTAACTGCAATTACGACGTTCACTGCAAGGAATGCTACGACTTGCACCACTATGAGCACAATCGCGACCCTGCCCTTCAGACCAACATCACCCAAAACCAGGGCAAAGACAAAGAAAGCAGATGCCCTAACCTCGAAACTGTCACCCCTCAAAATTGGTCACAAAAGTAGGGATCTCCAAGAAAACTGTTGCTTCGATACTCTTCAGGGTTCCTTGAGCTATGAAGGCCCTAACCTCGTACTACACCCATTCCAAAAACAGGTTTCTTGGGATGATCAATGGGCTGAAATACATCAGTTTGTAAGGGACTTAGAGAGGGCCCCAAAATGGCGCACAAAAACAAGGATCCTACACCTTGGGCATAAGATCCCAAGTGGGTGGATTGAAGAGAGACCCCATTTTGGCTTCCTTCTTGCACATGCTCTTTGAGATCCCTTCAAGCACTCCAAAACCACACCAGGGACCGGTGCCTGTTCTTTGCCAGCCTTCCGGCGGAGAAAGCATGTCGTCAATCGCAGCCCTGTCGAAGGCACAAAGAGAATATCCTGTTTCCGATATTGAGGCGGGAATCATGCTTGCGGGGGATTGTCAAAACCGGAGGCCATTTGAACGGTAAAGGCTTGACGCATCTTGGGTGTATATAGAGGTGGTTAAGAACATATGTATAGAGAGAGAAGGAGGGGGAGTTCAGATACAGACAGGTCAGCATTTCTCAACACAAAGGGTAGCCAATCGCAGTCCTAGCAAGATTACACACAATGTCATGAGAAACCCCATATGACTACCAAGGCATCCTCTGAGCTACCGTCAATATTTCCGAAATATAAGGACCTGGGTTCCTGTAAGGAACATAGCAGGGACTATACTACACTACCAAGGGGACCACTATGTCCATCCTTCTAGATCCCTTGGTAATGCTAATATTGAAAGAAGCTCATGTGGTTAATGAATGCGCAGGAATCTCCCAGCCAAGCCACTCAAACCGGTTTGAGGCTTGTTGGTGTCTTTGTTTTTGGATGTCCTCTGCCCTCGATCTCTTTTTGATTTGTATGACCACAGCTTTGCACCTGTAGGATTTGAGGCCAGAATGCAGGAAAGCACCGTACTGTAGACAACAGCCTGCCGGCTGCGGTAATGTCCCTGGTCAGATCCTCGATCCTCTGGTCGCCCAAGACCTTGGTCGAACAAAAACTCAGTCATGCTCATTTGGGAAGGGGCCAATGAGTTCAAGCGAAACCTACATGTGTCAGGATGGCGGTAGTACCGGGACTGATCCATTCCCCCATGCCTACAAAGCAACTGCAGCAGACTTTTCACCGCGAAAAACATCAGTTGCAAGAGCGCAGTTCACAGCTACACATTCCACTTGGGCCATGGCTACGTCGATGTTGTTCGCCTCTGCTATTTCAGACGCCGCCTGACGCAGGTGCTGAAGGCAGCGGCTAATCTTTTCTGGTGATTCCGCTGATCGTGTTCTCCAAGAAAGGCAAATAAAGGATAACTCAATTTTACATAATTTGAGGACGAAAACCTCCTCATTCAAGTCATAGTAATTACTACTAAAAGGAAAGGCACAGAATTGTGGTGTGGAAAATGACAATGAAAGAAACGGTGCACGCGGCTCTTTTCACCCATCAAGCTACTCGAAAGGCTCAGGAATCTTCGGGCGTGATCATCACCAAGCAGCCGAAGTCAACGCCCTCCGACCCCGGCACACCATCGCAAATCTCCTGTTTCCGGGTGGCTACTTACATCGGGATCAGGCAGTTGTGTGGGGATGGTTTCAGGACGTGCTCTTCCCTTTTGCGGGGTGTCTTGTCTCGCACGCCTTCTTGCATTTGAATCGGGGAATCAAAAGGTTCTTGCCTATGCTCTGCCTTACTTTTCCTCACCTTTTGAGCCCTCTGATTGGAGGGATGTCGGTCCATGTTTGCTAACATTTTCTTACTTTTCCTTTACAGTCTCCTCCTCCATGTTGGCCTCAAAGTCTGCGTGAACCTCCTCGACGAGACATGCTTTCCTCAGTTACCAGGTTTTGGCGTGTCACGCTCACGGTCAGTGACAATTCTGGGGTGTCACAGCGGCGGTATGGGGCTGTGATGCAGTGGTTGGCTTGGGGTTTTGAGGGTGTCGCATGCTATGCATGGTAGCAATGCTAAGAAAAATACAGGTGGTACAAACAGACATCTGACCAACATCAAACTAATTCAACAACAGCTGCAGCCCCAGCAGCAGCATGGGAGAAGGAGACGCTGTATCGGTCATACCAGCAATAGGAAGGGAATGATACTGGCACTGGTGCAAGGAATCCAAATGCCACACATGAAAGTTCCAAGAAATTGCCCTTGCAGATCGCAGGGTTCATCTAGAGATTGCAAGGAATAATGGGTATTCAGATGTTTAGAAGCTCCCCTACGGAGTCCGGTCACGGTGTAGGTAGCCGGGGGGGAGTGGGAGCGGTAAGAAGATCAAATATTGTCTATTGTGTAGTGTGGTATTGTGTCATTACGATAACTCCTCCAAAGCCTAGCCGCCACTCTGAAAATTACTGGAGTACCCTTTCGAAAACCCTACCCTGAACCTCACGGCTCATCTTCGCAAAGTCTTGCTCCAAGCCGCAGGCAAAATGTCTCGAACTTTCTGACTTCCTGTGGGTGGCAGGGTTTTTGAGGACCGGCAACCTCAGGTTAGGGCTCAGGGTTTGGGGTTTAAGTCACGGGGCTTGAGTTTTTGGGAATTTGGTCTGGTCAACATGAAGGGAACATATTCAAGTCCAAGTACGCATCAAGGCCTGCAATCTACAGAACTAGAATGAAACCCCAGAAATCTAGCGTCTTAGACTAACCGCCTCCGCCTTTCCATGGGTTGTTTTAAGACCAGCCCACCCTATCCCCTTCTCGTCTTCCACTACCATATAACCATGGCACTACATGCGAAGATTAATTGCTACGGGCGTGGCAGGGTGTACTAGAAGGACGAAAGTAGGCACCTACGTCGGGGTAGGGCAGCTCACTGCTGGCCTGTTTGGTGTCTACTCTTGCAGCCAAGCAAAGAATCGGGAAAACACGTACCATATTGATTTGGGTTTGGGGTTTGGGGTTTGGGCTTAAGGTTTTCGAGTTTGATGGTATTTGATGGTCGGCAGGCACTACAGGAATGACTCCATTTCTTCATTTTATTTCATTTTCAATCATTGATGTTCCACTACCAAGGGGCAAATACTCAGAGGGGCTGGGAGCTGGTTCACCAGACTCCCATGATGACCATCGTGGTGCCCTGGATTGTCAAAGAAAGGGACTTGATTCGATGCTCGCATTAACACTGGAGCAGTGATGATTAGCAGTGAGGGTCCCTAATAGTGTTATCAAAGGTCTCTTCCTGGGATCCTCTATGCACTGAAGCAGAAACCCCCAACCCTGAGAATCTCCTTCGCGCCCCCAAGCTTGTTCTCCATGGGAAGTTCAATTTGCACGCCGCATTTGTGAAGTTCGTCCGGCCTGCCGGGCTGATGTCAACCAAGCATTCTCAGCGCAGGCATCGAGCAACTGGACTTCGAGCTACCTTTTCATTCGGTCCTGCATTCTGCAATTGCTTTTTCATTTGCGTAAGACCAAAAAGTTGTTCAGGTATTAGATGACCAGGCTACCATCCTGAATACAGCTCTGTATTTACCCCATCGTCCTTGTGACAATTTCCATTTGCCAAGCCGCTTTGCATTGTCAGCAATGTCTTTCAAGCCAGACTTGTAGTGGTCGACTCCTGGCAGATCTGTGTAGGGCTGTACCTTAAACCTGAAACCCAAGCCACAACCCAGACCTTGAAAGAAAAATACAGGGTTCTGGATTTCAGGCTCAACAACGCAGATTATTTAACCTCCTAGACGCATTTTGTTATAACCCTCTTCTTTTTCTGCTTGCCGGCAAGGCTCGGATGTCAAAAGTGCAAATCGCATGCTGTTTCAAGCAGGTCTCGTCAGTGCTCGAGCAGCTTCCACCTCTGCTTACTTTAGGATTGAAGTTTAGGTGTGAAGGGGTTAGATGTTTGGGGTGGAGAGCTCCTGTAGATGTGTCGTTTTCATCCCTAGGGTCAGCCTCGCGGCTTATGGCTGATTATGGGCTGCAAAATACCGGAAGCAAATGGATAATTTTTATGGGTGGCGTCCGTAAGATAAGAAAAAAGGATCGTGCAACTTGGAAAGGGTACATGGAGGACCTTGTATCGGGAGCTTCTCAAGAGCGGGGCAATTCAAGACACATATTTGAGGGATTGCAGAGGGTCACTTTGGTATTACAAGGGGGTCAATTTGAAAAACTTCAAATGTTGCGCAGCCATCACATTGGAGGACATGATGGTCGCTAGGCAGGCTTAGTCATGTCTGATCACCTGCATACCAATCAGCAGCGCTAGCAACATTCAGCATTGCTAGTAACATAGGGTCACCAAGGGTGGTAATTACCGATGGTATTACTTATGCGACCGGCATGTGTACTTGACGCAACGAGGTGATAGCCGAAGCTGCAAATTCAGGATGGCAGATGCTCCTACTTGGCATCCAGACACCCACTAACCCACAAGTCTGCTTCCCCAACCCGGAAACGTCCCAATTACGCACCTTCTTCCTGGAAATCTGGAACTCTCAAGGGACTTGCAGCCACCTTTCTCAGCCTGGCAGCCAAAAACCCTTGGATCATATCCATATCAGTCATGTCGGAACACTTTTTCAGGCTTTGGAGTACATGTATTTTGAAACTCGGCAATCAAGGCGTCATTTTCTCATGCCAAATAGCGTATTCTGCTACTTACTCACCAAGCGACGATGGTACTAGGCACCTCCGAAAACCCTCGCTTAACATCCATTGAGGTGTCCAAATTTTGGCCAGGCCACATTTGCTGTTGATGAGTCCCTCTTCCTGAGGTCTCAGGATTATGACAGAGGTCAACTGTGTGAATAGGGCTACAAGCTGGGGTGTAGAGCTTGGGGCTTACGAAACACCACACAAATGTCCAAAGCGAGCTAGTCTACGTCGAGCATCCCCTCCGCGACACTTGGTACAGAATGCCCTTGACCTTTCAACATTAAGACAAACCTCAAGAGATGGTTGGGACACTCTGCGGCTGAGCCCAGCAAGGATGTTCTAATTCTGGGCTGGGCACTGCATGGACACTCTGGGGTTGGGCACTGAAGAACAGCGGCTGAGCAGTGCAATACTCCAAGTGACCAGGCGAGTAAACAAAATCCCAATCTAACAGCCCCGCAGCGAGGATGGGAAAAACAGCAGCTGTCAATCACTCTGCAAACAGAACGTGTCGAACACCTGAAGCCTACAGAAACTCGATGAAGCAAATGAGAATGGCAGAAAAAGGCGAATAACCAAAAACGAGCACAGTCCTCTTGAAGCATCTTTTCAAACTGTAAAACCCTCTCTTTCTCGTATCCTGCTTGCAAACCCATGTAACTTCCATGACTCTATAACTTGACTCAGCCTATGATCTCAACACAAATCATTTTTAGAACGCCTCCTTCGGATTACACAGGACAAAACTCGCAGCAACACGAGTAAACCCAGAAGCCCTGGAACACCAAATGCATAAGCCCTAAACCCAGAGACTCGGATTGCTGGTGCTGGATGACTGGACCTGCCTCCGTGCTGTCCATTTTCTGAGGCTCCGTGCATCCTGCGTGTTCGCCTGAGCAAGCACAGCTGAACTGTACCATGTCTTGGGTTTGCTTCGAGAGCGGGGCAGAGAGTACTAGCAGCAAGACACATCTCAAGTGTAGTGTAAACGGGCAAGTTGCGGCAGGGATGGAGAATCATCCATGCCGCGTTCTTTTGGCTGTTACTGCTGCACTAGTACCAGCAGGGCTGTTGACTCCACCACCACCACCACGACTACTGCCACCACGACTACTCAGATAACAGCGATTACTCCGGCCACAGCGCATCAAGCCGACGACCTCGTGCGAGGACGACCATGACGACAACAACAACCAGAATTACCCCAACCACCAAAGCCACAGAAGCGAGCAGCGGCAACAGCAGCAACAGCAGTACCAGCGCCAGCGCCAGCACCGGCACCAGCACTAGCACCGCCGCCACCGCCAAACAAAACAGGACAACTCTGAGCTCAGTATAGTCGCTAAGTAAAGGAAGTGGAATTTACAAAACCTCCATTTTTAGCTACGGACTTGTATATTTTGATTCATGTTCTCTCTCAATCCCCCTGTCTCCACACCCCGTCTAAACCAAACTGCCCATGACTCTGAACGTGCAGCCAAGTTGCGTCGCCCGTGTCGCCGTTTACGACGTTCAAGCGCAGCGCTCCTTACTGGCTACATCCAACGTGCCTTGGGACCCTCAAGGGGTAGAGTTTATA